GGCTGGTGCTGAATTGGGTAAGAAAGGCACTAATGCACAATCCTGGTGCAAACATTGCATGTTGTTGCAAGCTCCCTTCCTTCCTTAAAAAAATGGGAAAGGGTCTCGTATTTGCCAGGATACATAGTGCTAGGGACTCAACTGTTAGTTTTCTAAGTGCCCACTGGGGAAATGGGCCAACACACCACGTTTCATTGATTCTCAGATACCATCAATTGCACTATGTAACAAAATTTAAAAAAATGTTCCACTCCTGGTTTGAAAGTGTTAGTTCCTGTTTAATAGTGTAGTACGCATTTTGAAAGTAGTTGTTCTCCTCCAGAAACTTCGTTTTTGTGGCTGCCACCTACTCTGATGAATTGGTTGAGACTCTACAAGATATTTCTTGAAAAACTACAGCAAAATGTGCAACAGGATATCCTTTTTCTACATTTTTATGGTAGAACCAATTTGGAAATGACATTTATATCCCAGGAACAAAAACTGTGTTATATAGTACATGAATTATTGTGTTACACGATAATTTCAAAATGCTCCTATATGCTGATGACATCTTCTGTACGCATTCAGAAGAAGACCTACAAGCCACAGGGGCGGCTCAACCCGTTACGCAAAGTAAGCATTTGCAGTATAGTTGATTTTGCCCAGGGGCGCTCTTGAGGTGCTCTTGGGAGAAATAGACCTTGACATATGCGAGTTGTACTTACTGGGATGTATAGTTCACCTACAATCAAAGAGCATTCTGAACACCAGTGATGGAATTGAACCAAATATGGCACACAGAACTCCCACGACGAACAGAAAATATATATCAGTGATTGGTTGGAGGGGGGGGGGGGCACCAAAATACTGTTTGCTTACGTTGAAAATTACCTAGGGCCGCCTCTGAAGCGACTCTAAACACCTTCATAGAAGCATATGTGAAGCTCGGCCTGTCATTGAACATTGAGAAAACCAAAGTGCTCTTCCAGCAGTCACCAGCCAATCCCTTTCCAATGCCAGAAATACAGCTTAATGGTGTAACATTAGAAAATGTTGACCATTTCCGCTACCTTGGCAGCCACCTCTCCCCCAAAGTCAACATTGACACTGAAATACAACACCGCCTGAGCTCTGCGAGTGCAGCATTTTTCCGAATGAAGCACAGAGTGTCTGAGGACTGGGACATCCGAAGGGATACCAAGGTGCTTGTTTATAAAGCTATTGTCCTCCCAACCCTGCTATATGCCTGCGAAACTTGGACTATCTACAGATGTCACATGCAACTCCTGGAACGATTCCATCAGCATTACCTCTGAAAAATCCTGCAAATCTCTTGGGAAGACAGGCCGGGTGTAAATCTGCACCATATTCACCAGGTTGGTGCCCAAAAGCAGGAGGACATCTCCCCTTTTTCTTGTTCAAGTGCCCTGTCCTGAAATCTACAGAGCACTGTATTGAAAAATGTGTGTTGAAATACCGTATATACCGGCATATAAGACGACTGGGCATATAAGACGACCCCCAACTTTTCCAGTTAAAATATAGAGTTAAGACGACTCCCATGCATAAGACTACACCCGCATATAAGACGCCCCCTGACTTTTGAGAAGATTTTCTTGGGTTAAAAAGTAGTCTTATACGCCAGAATATACTGTATATATTTACCTAACTTGTTGGATTTGGAGGTTTTTATTTAAATAGCACATCTTGTGGAACGGCAATAAACACCTTAAGCTTAGTAGCATCATCAGGAGTTGCTTCTTGTAAGGCCACTCTTTAAGCATCACCAGAGCCTGCTTCTTGTGACATCACAAAGAGAAGTCCCTAGGTCTCAGATTTTAAGCCTAAAAAGCAAAGGCTTGGGATAATAATATGATATTATAATTTTACATTTATACCACATGTAATATTACTAATAATATTTATTTATTTATTTGCTACATTTTTATACCGCCCTTCTCAGCCCGCAGGTGACTCGAGGCGGTTCACAAGGCAACAATTCAATGCCAACAATATCATAAAAAACATTTAAAACATTTAAAAGCATTTACATATCAATTAAGACCATAACACATTAATAAAAGCAATTCATTTCGTCTCCAAGATAAAAACGTAATCCGATCTCATAGTCTGATTGTTCCATATTCCTATGTCCGTTACATTGCTTTTTCAAACACCTGCTGAGTTTTTTTTCCAGAAAGTCAAAATGGAGGGAGCTGATCTAATGTCCCTAGGAAGGGCGTTCCATAGCCAAGGGGCCACTACTGAGAAGGCCCTGTCTCTCATCCCCGCCAAACGTATTTGTGATGCAGACGGAGTCGAGAGCAGGGCCTCCCCAGACAATCTTAACATCCTAGATGGTTCATAAGTGGAGATGCGTTCGGACAGCTAAGTTGGGCCAAAACCAAAATAATATTACAATATAATGTTATAGTACAACCTACGGACCGACCGCCAGTACACTGATCTTGGAAGACAATCCTACTTGGACAATGAGGGCTCACCTAATTGAATATAGTAATTTTTAATACTGATATTGTACTATGCTAATAATATAATATATGGTATGTATGTATATCTTGTAAGCTACTCTGAGTCCCCTTTGGGATGAGAAGGGTGGCATATAAATGTTGTAAAGAAATACATAAATTAATAATTAATTAATAGATAATTTTTATCTGTTTGGGCAATGCATAGCATGAAAGTTGCATTGTATTTCACTCCAGGTCCCTTTTACACTGCCATGTAAAATCCAGGGCCCTTCCACACAGCCATATAACCCTGAATATCCAGGCAGATAATTCACAATATTTGCTTTGAACTTTTGCATATCTTGCTAAATATTATCAGATAAATTATCTTATAGGAGATGCAAACCATCAAAGTAATTTTTGAAAGCTTTGCTTTAGAGTCCAAAGAACTTGTGTTTTATGGTTTCTATTGTTCTACTGTTTTTAATATGATGTATATTATATCTTAAAGTTTTAAACTACATTTTATGTTGTGGAGGGGCATTGATTCCCGACTGTAAACCACCTCGAGTCACCTTCGGGTTGAGAGAGGCGGTATATAAATATGGTAAATAAATAAATGAATAAATAAATATTGCTTCAGCTTCCTCACCATTGTTTTCCCCTGATTTGTCCCCCTCTGCTGTCCAAATCAGACTGAATTTCCTTGCTGTTTCCTTTGCATGGGCCTGATGCCACTCAGTGGCTGAAAAGCAGTATTGCAAAGGAAAGAGTGATGTGCTTCTAAACCAGCCATGGGCAAACTTGAGCCTTCCAGGTGTTTTGGACTTCAACTCCCACAATTCCTAACAGTCTCAGGCCCCTTCCTTCCCCCCCCCCCAGCTTCTTTTGAAGTCCAAAACACCTGGAGGGCCAAAGTTTGCTTAAGCAGCTGAGGGGGAAATGGAAAGGGCCCGAGGCTGTTAGGAATAGTGGGAGTTGAAATCCAAAACACCTGGAGGGCTCAAGCTGGCCCATGCATGAGCGATCTCCTCCTACTAATTTGCATATGGGTTCTGATTGGCCAGCCCCAACATTCTAACCTTCTTAAGTGGCTGAGAGTTGGCCTATGCCTGCTCTAAACCTGTTCCACTCATGATCTCTTTCTACTTGAAATTTTTTAAGTGACCTTAGGTATATAAATAGATATAAAAATCCAAACATTTACTGGCAATAAATCAGCATTAGTGTGGTATGCTTAAGCAGGCGATTTTCCCTTTTTATGAAGCACAGTTGAAGCATTTTCTGCAGAGTCCACTGCACACACTGCATGTGTTACTCACAGGTTTGTGTACATGGGTGGCTTTCAGAAACATTTTAGTATTGCTAAATTTACTGTGATCTGAACACTGAACTAAGGCCCCTTCTACACTGCCATATAAAATCCAGATTATCTGCTTTGAACTGGATTATATGACAGTGTAGAAGGGGCGTAAGATAAAAAAAATATTAATGGTCCCATACAACTGGAAACAATTTAATTGATTATATAACAGACATGTTGCAAGTTGCTTTTGGTGTGAGAGAATCAGCCGTCTACAAAGACATTGCCCAGGGGACGCCCCGATGTGTTACGATCCTGTGGGGAGGCTTCTCTCATGTCCTCATTTGTGTTTTTAAATACATATTAACTGTACTCTCAACTTGCTTCTGACACGATAAAACATAAAATATACATACATGAAGAAGGAAGGATTTTTTGGGTTAGAATAAGGGTTAGGATTAGGGTTACGGTTAGGGTATGGTTTAGGGTTAGAGTAAGGTTTAGGGTTTGGATTAGTGTAAGGGTTAGAGTGAGGGTAAGGTTTAGGGTTTGGTTAGAGTTACAGTTAGGGTAAGGTTTAGGGCTTATGGTTAGGGTACAGTTTAGAGTTAGGCTAAAGTTTAGGGTTGGGGTTAGGGGTTACGGTTAGGGTACGGTGTAGGATTAGGGTAAGGTTTAGGGTTTAGATAGGGGGTTAGGGTACAGTTCAGGTTTAGGGTTTCACTGTTAAAGAACTCTTATATTCCTCCTATATTATCTCTCTCCAGGAGCCCCTGGTGGCGCAGTGGGTTCGAATCCGGGGAGAGTCGGATGAGCTCCCTCTATCAGCTCCAGCTCCTCATGCCGGGACATGAGAGAAGCCTCCCACAAGGATGATAAAACATAAAAAAAAATCATCCGGGCGTCCCCTGGGCAACGTCCTTGCAGACGGCCAATTCTCTCACACCAGAAGCGACTTGCAGTTTCTCAGATCGCTCCTGACACAAAAAAAAAATCTCTCTCTCCGGCCTGGCTTACATTAGCTAAGCCTCTCTTGCGCAAACAGTGCTCCCGAAGGAGCGACGCGGCATCTCCGTAAGGCTCGAAGCTTCCGGCCGCAGCTGTCAAACTATTACCGGAAGCGCTGCCAACCTGCCTGCATCCTACAAGACATTCACAACAAAGTCTTCCCTCTGGCCCCGCCCCCAATGGCGAAAACCCAGCCAATCAGCGTCGGCCCCATGTGACGCAAGAGATGGGCGGAGCCACCGCCGCGCGTAACGCCAGAACTCCCATCGCGCCCTGCCTGTGCCTACTAACGGGAGAAGAACAGCCGGCGGGGAGATGTTTAACCCCTTGTTTGCCGCAGACGATGGCCTGAAGAGAAGGGGGCGGGGACTCCCCTGAGGCCCCGCCCTCTTCCTACTCGGCTCAGCTCGAGAAGGGGGCGGGGACTCCCTTGAGGTAGGCCCCGCCTTCTTCAGGCTCGGCTCGCTCTCTGGCTTCGAGCGCTCATCCGCGGCCGGGCGCATGCGCGCCAGGTCCGTCCGCGATGGAGTCCCTCCTGGGGCAGGTGCCGCTGCGCTTCTCCCGGGTGCCCATGTTCCCCTTCTTCGACCTGGCACACTATGCCGCCTCCGTCATGTCGCTGAAGGAGCAGCGCGGTGAGTGAAGCCAGAGAGCCAGGGAGGAGTCCTGGATACCTATAGAGCCCATGGGTCCAGTTCTGGGGATTGAAAGGAGCAGCACAGCAGCCTCTGAGCATGTGCAGAGTGCTTTTCTGCATTCCTGCCACTTTGAATCAGATTCCTGGCCTGTCAGCCTGTTTCCCGCCACCTAGATTGTTTTAGAGTGCATCTACACCAGGCATAGGCAAACCTGGGCCCTCCAGGTGTTTTGGACTTCAACTCCCACAATTCCTAACAGCCTACCGGCTGTTAGGAATTGTGGGAGTTGAAGTCCAAAACACCTGGAGGGTCCAAGTTTGCCTATGCCTGGTCTACACTCTTCAGAAACTAAACTCCTTACACAGTGCTACTCAGAATGGGGAAGCATTGGCCACTGGCAGGTTTTCAGGAACTATAACGATTATATTTATTTACTATTTATTTATTTACAGTATTTATATTCTGCCTTTCTCACCCCGCAGGGGACTCAGGGAGGATTACAATACACATATACATGGCAAACATTCAATGCCAATTAGATATACAACATATATAGACAGACACAGGAGCGATTTATCATTAATAATAATAATAATAATAATAATAATAATAATAATATCTTTATTTATACCCCGCCACCATCTCCCCAAGGGAGTCGGAGCGGCTTACATGAGGTCAAGCCCAAAAACACATCAAAACCAACAAGCAATAATAAAATAACAAGCAATAAACAAAATAACTCGGGACTATGTCTGTTCTTGTTTTATTGTATTTTAAAGTTAATTGTATTGTTTTAATCTACTGCTGTAGACCGCTCCGAGCCAAATTGGGAATAGCAGTATACAAATCAAATAAATAAATAAATAAATAAATAAATAAAATAAACAATACAATTAATATAGGTCATAAGTAGACAATAGCACACAAGAGTTTAAAAACCTATGGCAGGACCAAATGTAATAGTTAAAACTTTAAAATTAAATGCTGGACATGAGCAGAGGATGTTTTTCCGGCTTCATGAGGGTATGCTCGATTCTAGTCACAGGGGGAGCTGCCTGTGAAGAGAAGGGGGCGGGGACTCCCCTGAGGCCCCGCCCTCTTCCTACTCGGCTCGGCTCGAGAAGGGGGCGGGGACTCCCTTGAGCTGTACATTTAGCTCAATCCACTTGTGACACTGAGTCCTTTGGTGGAGTACTTCCTCATTCTTCTGCACATAAATTAGTTAAATTAGGTTCCCTGCATAAAGTGGTACCTAAATTTCCTACTTGACAGAGGCAACTGTCTTTCAGGCTGCATAGGTCAACAGCAAGCTAGACTATTAATGGTTGGGAGCTTACTCCAACCCAGGCTGGCTTCGAACTCATGACCTCTCGGTCAGTAGTGATTTAATAATAATAATAAAAGAATTTTTTATTTATTTATACCCCGCCACCATCTCCCCAGAGGGGACTCGGAGTGGCTTACATGAGGCCAAGCCCGGTGATACATTACAGCAAAATAAATACAGAAGAGCAAAAAATAACATCACAATAAAATAAGTAAAACATACAGATAAAATAAAACAGGGCAAAATAACAAAGTGAAAAATCAAACACAGTGGGCGGGCTAAATGTACAGCTGGCTGCTAACTAGCTGCGCCACGGCCCGGGATTATTATTATGATAATAATATAGCACAAATATAGTATCACCCCTTGGTTAGTCTACCACCCTAGGTACCTTGGGAGGCATTCTCTACCATAGAGCATGCCACATGAATGCTGATCTTCTCCTTACCCCAGTGGTTCTCAACCTGTGGGTCCCCAGATGTTTTGGCCTTCAACTACCAGGAATCCTAACAGCTGATAAACTGGCTGGGATTTCTGGGAGTTGTAGGCCAAAACACCTGGGGACCCACAGGTTGGGAACCACTGCTTAGCCCAATACCGCTAAGCCTCTCTGCCTTACACTGTTATTTTGGACTTGAATAGCTCTCCTGTCTTATGGGCTTTTCCTAGACATCCGATTAGCCATTGTGTAAACATGATGCAAATTAGGTCTTTGGTCTGACATACTAATGTTTTAAAAGGCTAGAAAGAGGCCAGTTCTCTACTATGCTGCTGGCTCTAGTGTATTTAAGCTTGACCTTCCATACTTGTTCCCATTCGCTTATTAGTATAGAGTGGCCTATATCCCTGGCCCACTTGACCATATTTTCTTTTACTATTTCCGTTTCAGTATTCCACTCTAACAGGTTTCGATACAAGATTCTAACCAGCTTCTTATCCTTTTTCATAATTATATCCCAACACGTGTCCTTTTCGCTAAATCCCACTTTTAGATCTTCCTTTAAAGTTTCTTTAATTTGTATATATTGTAGCCAATTTAGTTCTTTATCTTCCCTCTTTAATTCTTCCATAGACCTCAGGTGCCATTCATTGTTGATTTTAACCAATAGTTGCCTGTAATTAAGCCATCTACTTTTCGGTAACTCTCTTTTATGATATGCCTCTATTGGCGATGTCCACATGGGTATTCTGGGGTAAATGATGTCTTTATACTTGTTCCAGGTCTTTAGTAGGGGGCCTCTGATGTAATGATTAGTAAAGTTTTTTTCTATCCTTGCCTTTCCATAGCTTAGGTAAGCGTGCCACCCTCTTCTAATGTCATAACCTTCTATAGTTAATATTTTTTTTTGCTCCAGGGTAGCCCATATTTTCACCCATGATAGGGCACAGGCTTCAAAATACAGCTGCATGTCCGGCATGGCCAATCCTCCCCGACTTTTGGCGTCTGTGAGATTTTTAATCTTAATTCTGGCTTTTTTCCCCTCCCATATAAAATTTAATATTTGTTTGTTCCATTTTTGGAAACATGTATTTGTCTTAATAATTGGTATCATCTGGAACATGAAAATCATCTTAGGTAATACACTCAATTTTATGGCTGCAATCTTTCCTAGTATAGATAGATTTAAATATTTCCAGTTGTTGAATTTCTTTATTATATTACCCCAGGTTTTTTCATAGTTATCCTTAAACAGATTCATATTTGAAGCCGAAATTACTATGCCTAGATATTTAATTTTATTGACCACTTCAATTCCAGACTTCGAAACAATCTTTACCTTTCTTTCTGCCTTAACATTTTTAGTAAGAATTTTTGTTTTATTTTTGTTTATCTTAAATCCTGCTAGTACACCAAATTTTTCAATTTTAGATATCCATTTTTCAATAGTTTCTAATGGAGACTCCATAATGCAGACCACATCATCTGCGAACGCTAAGGTTTTGTATTCTTCTGATCTTATTTTGAGGCCTCTTAGCTCTTTATCCTTTCTTAAGTCCTCCAATAAAACTTCCAACACCAAAATAAACAAAAGAGGGGAGAGAGGGCACCCTTGCCTTACCCCTCTTTGTATTTCCACTTCCTCTGTTCGCAGGCCATTGATTAGTACATTTGCTGTTTGTTTGGAGTACATTGTCTTTACCACATTCATTATAGGGTAGCCTATATCCATTTCCCTCAACAAGAGTAGTAGGAAGTCCCAGTTCGTGTGGTCAAAAGCTTTCTCCGCATCGAGAAAAAGCAGACCTACTTCCTTTTGGTGGTTTTTTTCGTAATACTCTATGATGTTAAGGAGTAATCGGCTGTTATCTCTCATCTGCCTTCCCGGTAAAAAACCTCTTTGATCCTCGTTGATTTTTACTCTTAGTAGTGCTTTAAATCTTTCTGCTATTATGCTTGTGAATATCTTACAGTCACAATTCAGAAGGGAGATGGGGCGGTAGTTTTTAAGTTTTGTAGTCTCTGTGTTCTCTTTGTGAATTAGCGATATGTATGCCTCATTCCACGTCTCCGGCATCCCCTCACCTTTCAAGATGTTATTCATTACTTCTCTTAAGCAAATGATTAATTCTTCCCTGAATGTTTTGTAGTAAAATGCCGACAACCCATCCGGGCCCGGGGCTTTGTTGTTGGCCATCTTCTTTATAGCTCTTGTAATTTCTTCTTCTTCTATAACCTTATTCAATGATTCTCTTTCTGCGTCGGATATTTTGGGGATTTTCTGATCAGAGATGTACTTCATTATATCCTCCTCTGAGACTACATCTTTCTTATATAATTTTTGATAATATTCCCTGAATTTCCTTGCAATCTCTTTTTCCTTCGTATAGGTCTTACCTTCTTCTATTATTTGTGTAATGAAATTCTGTTGTCTCCTCTTCGCCAGCATTCTTGCCAGAAATTTCCCCGGCTTATTAGCTTTTGCAAAAAATTGAGCCCTTAAGTATTTTAGTTTCCTGGCCATTTGATTTAATTGGGCCGCATTCACCTCTTTCCTCAGCACTTCTATCTCTAGCTGGATTTTTTTGTTTCCCGGCCTTCTCTTTAGTTCGTCCTCTTTGCTTTTTAATTTTTCCACCAATTTCCCTTGCTCCTCTCTCCTTTTTTTTGCTTTTAATAGCTCCTTGCTGTATAAGATGTCCACGAATAACCGCCTTACTGGCGTCCCATACTGTTCCTAGTGTGGTTCCTTTACCTATGTTATTCTCGAAATATTCCTTAATTACTTTCTTATTGTGTTTAATATCCTCTTCTGATTGTATTAACCAATCATTAAGTCTCCATCTTTTCTCTTGTTGTCTAATTGCCATATCAATTTTCAATGGACAATGGTCGGTATGGGTTCTAGGTAATATTGTTACTTTCTTGGTTTTAGTAATTAGCGATTTGGACATCCAGCACATATCAATACGAGACCATGTCTCATGCCTCTTTGAGAAGAAGGTATAGTCCCTTGTTTCTGGGTTCAGAGTTTTTAAGGTTGGCTTTGAGACCATCTTTAAATCTCTTTTCCTGTCCACCAACATTCCATTTTCCATTCTTGAGTTTGGAGTAGAGCAACTGCTTTGGGAGACAGTGGTCGGGCATCCGAACAACGTGGCCGGTCCAGCAGAGTTGGTGGCGGAGGACCACCGCTTCAATGCTGGTGGTCTTTGCTTCTTCCAGCATGCT